TGCCTGCAGTGTGAACCAGAGTTTGCACTACCTTTTTATTGTCAAACATAATATTTACCCATCAATTTTTGCTTGATAATTGCATTTCATTTTCATTCTGTTTAATATTCAACAAGTTGAACAGATAATCCACCCTAACCCCGCTACTTGGTATCGGTATCGGTATCGGCGAGTACCCAAACTGAAGTACTCGTACTCAGTCTTGAAAAAACTGGTATCGGGACACCCCTAGTTACAACTAATCATGGATCCCTTTAAGGCCTCGACCGTTTCTGCTAGCTGATCTGAGGGCTCCAGCAGTGGCTCCCAAACAATAAAAATAGAAGAAATAAACCATTTACGTCAGCATACATCACATGCTGTGATCATCTGAGAAGTACGAACCAAAAGTCAGGAGATCCACTTTGTTTTTGGGTTAATAATTTGAGGTTTTTCTTGTAATCTTTTTAAAGCTGTCCACATTATAATTTCCCAATGTGCTTTTTTAAAGATTTTCCATGTTTCCTATAAAATTTGGCTTCTTTTTTTATGTGTTTTAATTTCCATCTTTTACATGACCATTTTAAAAGAATGCCTTTCTTAGATAAACCACATAATTTGAGTGGTTAACTAGTGTTGTGTCGATGCAGAAACACATTTTAAATCTGGTCTTTGGGCACTTTGTAATCAACAGGATGTTCAAAAGGACACAATTTGTTTCAATTCCTTTAACTGAGCTGTCCTTTAAAAAAAGGAAAATAGATATGTGAAGGTCAAACAAAGTAGTGTTTGACTATCTCCAGCAGACATTAAAATCAACAGGGTTTTACTGATTATGTCAGCAGAACCTGTAAAATGTGCATGACTGCTTCAGTTAATCAATGTACTGCCCAACAGGTATGACATCCAAATCCCTTGAAATCATTTGGTGAGTTTTTGCACAGCGCTGCAGCTTCAACAGTAAATATAATAAATGTTAGACAGACTCACTGTTTGAGTCACGTTACCTTTGTGAAGCGTGGGTGGAAGATACTCGATGATGTGCTCGTCCAGTGAAGAGCTGGAAAACACCATCACTGCTTTCGCTTGCACCTGCAGCTTATCTTTATCTTCATCATCTTGCTCTTCATTGGCAGCCTCCTTTTCCTCTCTGTTGGTCAGCAGGGGTCTGTCTCTTTGAGGCCCATTGAAATTAAGCAAACCTAAATTCAAATCAAATAAACAAAGAACATTTAATTAGCAATCTACGGACAGACAGAGATAATTTCTGTAATATGAAGTTGAATAAAAAGCTCATGATAATCAACACATACTGACTTTGCAGAAACGTTAACTTCCAGGTATGAGCACATGCATAACGACAGGGAGTAACACATGCCTTATCAGCAGGAAAAGCAGCCTATTGATTTGATGACTTGGGAACAGGACGCGCACGATAGCGTATCAGTGCGATATCGTGTGTACAAACTGAAAATATCCGGTCAAAAGACAAAAAAACAAAATAAAATGATCAATAAGATAAAGTGAAGAAAGGTCAGGAAAACTCTTACCGTTCCTTTTTAAAAAGTGCAGAGCATCTTTGTAACCCTGCTTACACATGGCCTTCATGACCTGAAAGCAAACGTATATGTTTATCTCCCACGTGTCACCGAGGTCGGCTTATCTGCGGCTGATTGTGTGACGGGAGGCGAGGCCGACCATCGGATCCGGAGGGAACAGGGCCCTGGAGACCCGGTACAGGTTGGTGAGGGTGAACTGGATGCTGGTGTTGGTGAAGCGCAGCTCGTGGATGTTGGTGGAGGTGTCYCGCGGGCAGATGTCGCTCTCTCCGGAGAAGGGGGACACCGTGATGGTGTTYTTCAGCTCGTACTGAGGCAGGTTGTCTGAGATTCCGCCGTCAACGTATCGCTGAACGGCAAAAAAAAAAGGACACAGCGGAGTCGGATCAATAACCGCACACTTTGTAGCATTGGAAACCGAGGGCTGCAGAGGTCATAAACAGGATGCGGCGATAGGGAGACCAGAACCCCGCGTATTGATAAGGGTTTGTTTTCTTAAGAGTGATTGTGAAATTTTAAACTTGGATGGCAGCCGCAGTGTGTGTGTAAACAGATAATGACATCAGCTTTGTGAATTCGAGTCAGGATGGGGAGCAAAACAAACTTCTAAACCTGCGCCAACGTGGTACCATTTGGCTCTGCCGCCCTGCCACACACACACACACACACACACACACACACACACACACACAC